TGCTGGTCAGAAGGCATCACACTGCTCAGATGACTAGATGGTTGTGGAGACCCTGACAAAGCCCATGGGTGTCTGATCTCCCAGCCTCACTGCTTTTCTGGTGGATGTGATAAATTTAGGCAACTTGATCTGCATCTGCAGATCGGCCGTGGGCTCCGGCCTCATTGTCTGGGAGCCAGAGCTGGTGAACTGACCAGCTGGGGCTGCGACCCCAGCTGATGTCACCAATGCCAGCCTGGCTGTGGAGTGGCCTCCAGGAGCTTGTGGGGGGAGCATGGTTAACATAACAAAGGCCTCCCCAGCAGAGGAGCTGGCCTCCCCTCTGCACCCCTCCCAGTGCTGCTCTGACAGATGCTCCCTAGCACCCGCACCCTCCCTGCCTCCTGCACCTCTGACAGCGTGTTCTGGTGCAGCATGGAGCTCACTGTCTGCATGAATACACTCGCAGCAGATGCTAGAAAATGGGAGTCCAGGCACCTTTTTGTTGTCTCTCCTTCTTTCATAGGAGCTCTGCATGCACAATGTGAGGGTTATGACTACAGGGAAAGTGTCAATCATGTGGAGCCTGGTGATGAGCTGGGCTGGAGCCCTCCTGGGCCTGCTGCCCCTTGGCCTCGGTAAATTAATCATCAGTGAATGGGAAATGCTGTTGTATTACATGTGTGCACACATGCACAGAACACAAAGCACATATACATGCACATGTGTGTCCACATGCATACTCATATGTACGTGAGCACACATACAAAGCACACATGTGCAGACACAGGCAGTGCTCCCACCATACTGCTCTAGACACTGCTCATCTCTTGGTGAAATTTAATGGTTAGACTCCATGTTGACCTCATGGGGAAATTGGATTTGGTTCTCGTCCGATTTGGTTTGTGACCAGAATCATGGGGAGAATTAAGTTCGTGAACCTAGGTACCACTGTGAACTCAATTCACGGACACCAGCACCAATGTACCTCACCATGCAAAGCAGATGGGAGACGCCAGCCTGTGCCTTCGCACTCGAGGAGGGAGACTGTGACCCCCCCAAGACGCCTACAGCCCATGCTGCACACAGACTTGGGCCTACCCTGGGCTGTCTCAGTCAAACCTGAAGCCCACGAGTGGAGAGGTGTGTAGGTGTGTCAGGGTGTCGGCGTGGGTCTGGCCCTGAGGGTGCCCCATAAAGTCCACAGAGCAGGGAGGACATGGTGCCACTGCTGCCTGGCTGGTTCCTGAATGGCAGGGTGCCACAAATCCCTCAGAACTCAGGGACACAGGTGCACTCCTGTGGTCACCCAGGAAAGGGTGGCCAGACACATGTATCCTGTGCTTACCAAGGTAGGAGGCAGACGCCATACCCAGGAAGCCGAGTCTGCAGAGCTGAAGTCTGCAGTTTCACCTGCTGACTCAGACGTGGGTGTCCCATTGTTTGTGTGCCTCCTGCACATAAACCGGGCCTCCTGGCCAGTCCAGAGGGCTCCATGGTGCCCTGGTGCTGCATCTGTTACCACTCATGCCCATGGTGAATGGTGGCACAGGACGAGCTGCAGGCAGGCCCAGGCCATTGGTTTCCTTGCAGAGCTTGCTCTTGACAGCTTCTGAGGAGCATGGGATGCTATGGCACTGGGTCACTGCAGGGCAATATCTATAGACCTGGGCTTTGGGAGGAAGCCCCAGCTGCTGGTTTAAGCCAGGCCTGGATGAAACCACCCTGTGAACTTCAGAGCTTCTCAGCCCATCCTCTGTGTCCTCCCTGGTTTAATGCAGCAAAACCCGATTTCAGGAACTGGTTAAATTTGCAAAGGGAGGAAAACCATGGTACATGAAGAATGACTTAATTTCTACTCAGGACCACCCAGGAAAAGAGTTCTAAGCCTGGCAGATGAAGTGTGAACTCATCCACTCAACCATTCAACCATCCATCTACGTATCTATCCACTCCTCTGTGGTCCTCCAATCATCCATCTGCTCATTTTCCCCTCCATTCATCTATCCCTCAATCATTGGTTGATCTTCCCAGCCAGCCACCTATCCATCTATCTATCCACGCATCCATCTGTCCACTCATCCATCTATTCATTTATTCATCTATCCATCCATTATCCTTCTATCATCCTTCATCCATCCATCATCCATCTATCCATCTATCCACCCATTCATCCATCATCCATGGATTCATCTATCATCCATCCATCCACCCATCCAACAGAGAGTGACTGAGGCTGGATTCAGAGCACATACTGACCTGGCTCTTTCAGGCAGATGTGGCTCCTGCATTTGTGACTGACCTGGCCAAGTTTGCAAGACCATCACCCACTTTTGCTGTCTCAGATTTGAAGAAACTGAGGCCAACAGATGTCACATGATTAGTTCAGCATCACCAGAGCATCCATGACTCAGCCAAGACTCCCCCACTCTTGCCTCAGCACCAGGAATTTTCCTATGAGGCTCCACATAGGACCAGAGGTTACTTCACCGAGGCCTATGAGATGAAAACCATGGGACTCCTGGACACCTGGCAATACCGTTTCTCATCCTTCCCTTATCCTTATCCTTCATTCCTTGCTTTCAGTCACCTATATTCAATCAGAGTCCAGAGCTATTAAGTGGAAAATTACAGAAATGAATAAGTTATGAATTCTAAAATGTGCATTGCTCTGAAGAGCATGATGCACTGTCCAGCCCTACACCAGCTGGGACATGAGTTGTTCCCTGTCCGGCGTATCCACACTGTCCACACTACCTGGCCATCCATCACCTGGAAGCTGTCTTGGTTGTCAGGCTGATCATGGCAGTACTGCAGGGCTTGTGATCCAGTGACCCTTACTGTACTTAACTATGTCCCCAAAGCACAAGAGTGGCACTGTTGCAGAGCAGATGTACAAAGAGAATTCATGAAGCGCTTCCTTCATATGAGAAGGTAAGAGTTCTCAATGAAGAAAGAAAAATGTTGCATGTGGAGGTTGCTAAGGTCTGTGGTAAGAAAGAGTCTGCTGTCTATGACAATGAGAAGGAAAAAGAAATCCATGCTAGTTTTGCTGCCATACCTCAAACTGCAAAACCATGGTCACTGTGTGCAGTAAGTGCTCTGTTAAGATGGAAATGATGTTAAATTACAGGGTTTGGGACTCTCAGAGGTTTCAGGCATCTCCTGGGGCTCTGGGAACAGCACCATAGGGTGCTGGCCCTGGGTCAGCAGACTGCAGACCTACTCTGTCCAGTCTCTCATGTGCAGAATGCCTCATTCAATGAGAGCACAGCATTTCCTGACACTGTGGCAAAGAGAAGGAAATGTACGAGTCAGGAAACAAATGTCTTCAAGAGCCTAGAGGCTGCTCCATGGGTTGGACAAGCTCAGAAAAGCATCAGGAGTGAGGAGACAGCTCTCAGGAGTCAGGGTAGAGCCAGTGGCTACCTCCCCCATACCCACTCTGTGGAGGCTCAGCCCAGGGAGAGCTGGGAGACATGCAGCCTATGCAGATGGAGGATGTACCTCTGGTTGAGCCCAGATATTGGGGTCAGGACAGCCAGTCTCCTGTGGAGACTTCTGCATGCCAACTGCAAGGTCCTGCTGTTCCCTTTGTGGGCCACATAACCAGGGCTTCATGAGGCATCATGTGTCCTGAGGCTGCCGTTTGGGAAACCGAGAGGAGGGGTAGGTGTGAGGCCTGCACTGTGACTCGGCCTATTGGGCACTGAGTTTTGCTGTGATGTCTCTTTGAAAACACTAGAAGTAGGCTGGGCAGTGTGGTCAAGGTGTTTGGGGCTGGTTTTTAAAACAAGACAAAACGATAAGTCTTTAATGGGAACTGAGGGTGCCACTGAGGGTTTCTTCCATTGGAGTCCAGTACTCACAGCAGGAGATGGAAACGTATGCCAGAGATTCTGATGACCTTGCTCAAGGTCATGCATTGTCTTTCTGATGTGGTGGCAACAGAGAATTTCAATTCAAATGCCAACTGTGGAAAAGAAGTCCCTGTTGCCCAGGGTCTTTTATTGTACGTCTCAGAAGTCTTAATTCTGGGAGGCAGTGACCCCAAACAGATCTTTCAAGAGCCTTCCAATTTGTCTATTTTTCCATCCCTTCTTCATATCTTTTTTTCCTACTTTATCCTTTAAGTCTCGGTAAATTCTTGGTAACCTTGGAGGTTTAAGTCACCCTAATTTTGGGATTCCATTAGCACTGGAGAAGAGGTGTGTAAGTGCGGCCCCTAGCGGTGATGCAGGATGCAGCAACGCAAGCGTTAGGAGGTCTAGAGACACTGAAGTCCCACCTCGTCTCTAAAGGAGGAGGGTCCTCCTGGGCTGGTGGGTGGGTCTTGCCTGGGGAGCCAGTGGAGCTCCCTGGAGTGAGTTCTCTTTCTGACGATTTCCCTCTCTGGCTGTCCACCGCCAGCTCTTCTGATGATGGCTCCCAGCTTTTAACGCTGAGGTTCACTTTCATCCCATGCCGACTTGGCCACCCTGGGTCTCCTTTGTTTATGGTAGCATCTCCCGGGAAAGTCTGTGTGTGTCCTCAGAGAGTCCGTGTTGGTCCCCACCACGGTGAACAGCTATCTTTTGTCATAGAGTTGGGGTGGCAGGTGGCTGATAAAGGGGTGCGGTGTGTCTAAATCCTGCACTTTTTTGCTCTGGGAAATTACCCCTTTCTTGAATAAGCAAAGTTGCATATTAACAACAGCACACATAACCCCAGTTGTTTAGAGCTTTAGAGTTGTTTAGGCACAGAACCTGAGGAGACATTTTTTCAGAGAGGACATGGCCAGCAAGCATGTGAAGAGATTCTGCATTAGCAGCACACAGGGCCTCTGCTCTCAGTGACACAAAGTTCTTTCCACTCTCCAGGGCAGAGGGCTTTCCCAGGAGAAAAGGCTGGGCTCTGTACAGGCGGGATGGCAATGGGCCTGGAGCCCAGAAGGGACACAAACTGACTTCTGGGAGGACCAGGCTCTGACAAGCAGGAGGTGCCCTCATGGCTTCTCAACCCTTCCTCCTCTGTGCTTAGGAGCAACAGAAGATGCAGCTGTCCTAGAGAAGCTCTGGACCTGAGCATGAAGTGTGGGCACCTCTTGGCTCTTTGTCTCCTGCTGGGTACGCCCTTTGTCTGAGGGGAGCAGCGTTCCTGTGACCTCAGCCAGGTCAGGCTCGGAGTGGGAAGCTGCAGTCCTGAATGAGGCCTGTCCAAGGTCCTGCCCTGTCTCCTTGGCCAGGGTTCCTGACCAGTGGAGCAGAGCTGAGAGAGGAGAACTCTATCCAGAAACCGGGGTTCTGTGTTGTCTCCAAGACAATCAGGGCCACTCTGCCTGGCCCAGGGCATGAAAGCAGATAGAATATCACTATAAAATACACACTGATATAAACATTCTGCTCTAACATATTAATAGTGGTCTGTTTTCTTCACATAAATAGGGAACAACTGTGATCCATGGCAGAGGCTACATCAGCAAACATGGACCAGCTCCTGGCTAGGATGGAAGTGAGCCAGCCCCTGAGCAACGTGTGAATGTGAGCTGCAACAGTGGTGACCCCAGAGACTCTCTCTGATGGCCTGGGGTCCAGCACAGAGCCCTGAACACCAGGAACTCACAGGGTGGGGAGGCGGGACCCAGGAGGACACACATGGCGACGTGTGTCTGTGCTTCCTACTGAGGAACAGCATGGGCTCTAATCCCTGTCAACATGCAGGGAAAGCACATGCCCAGGCAGACAGCAGGACCCCACACACCCACACACCCACACAGGCACACACGTCAGCACACAAGCACACGCGCATGTGCACAACCACATCCTACAGTTATGATCTTTTCTTTTTCTGTCTTTTCGTGCAGTGTCTTCTGATTTATGATAATTGTCAACAAAAGCAAAAACACAGACAATTTTAACTCTGCGGTAGCTATGAAGTAACTGGCATGAAATTATGTTTTTTTCTTTTAATAAAAGGGAGGGGTCCTAAAGTCTCCATGGCCTGTGCACAGTGGTCTTGTTCACCCAGACGCCCCTCGGCCCTCTGTGGCCACACCCACCTGACAAGGACCCACCCCAGAATATTTGGCCAGCCAGGGCCTGGAGGACTCTGAGTTAAACTCATTTCCATATCAAACCCAATTTAGATGAATAGTCTTGGTTAAAAAAAAGCCACAGCATCAATAGCCCCTGATTAGATTTTCATCTCCTGAGCAGACAAATATGAATATTTATTACCATGAATGCAGATTTTTCTCTTTCCATTGCTCTGATCTTGAATATTATCCATTGCTAATTTTTATGAAAATTTGGGCAACATGATGTTTTCACATAAACTGACAGTTCTTGAGATAATCCTGTTATTGTCTGGTTGAAAATGACAGCTTCCGCTCATTCATGTGTTAACGAGGGATTAAATATTGTTTTTAATTCCCATAATCTAAGATGGACTGGAAATTAAAAATTGAACATTGTGTATTAGCAGGGCTTTGAGGACCAGAATTTGTTTGCATTCACTTAGAGAAGATCTATAAATTAGCAGCCGTGCAACTGGTCCCTTGATATTGCCATGAAGCCAGCATCGTGAAATACCAAGGACATTTCTCAGTCAACTCTTCACTGTACCTGCTCCCTCCACCCCAGGGGGCAAACAAAAAGACCCTTTTTTTTTGGCCCTTTGCCAAAAGAGCAAAACCACAATTCTCATCCTGGCATTGTCAAATTCTTCTCCAGGCCCTCACGCCAGGGGACAGTGGTGGCTCCAGGGAGCTGGCATGTAGTCTGTGTTCTCACCTCTCCTGAAGAAACCCAAGGACAAGGACCTGTGGTGCAGAGATGTCTCCCCCATCCTCTCCTGGGCACATGGTCACCCCCGGGTATCCCTGTGACCCCCTGGATGTCCTCGTGACAGGTCAGCTGGCATGTGTAGGGGTTCTACTGCATTGCTGTGCCAACAACTATGGGCCTAACTGTGGATCTGATGAGATTTTAGACAAAACTTTCCCATTATGCTTCTAAAGACACACTAGACTTCCTTTACCTATCTGTTCATCCATCCATCTATTCATTCTTCCTGATTGCTTCAGTAGAATTTTGTACTTTTTCATTTCTTGTTGATGTGGTATAGAGAAATAGCATGGACATATTTCTTAGCAGGTGGCTTGTCCAAACACTGTCTTTTGGAAAGAATGAAAAAAAGAAGCCCAAAGTCTAATGAGATGCTAATGGGTTGGGTTTGACGATGGGTGAGTGCGGTGGCTGACTGTGTCTCCAAAATTACCATGTGAGGTCTTAACCCCAGGGCTTCAGAGTGCGGCTGCCTGGGAAAGAAGTTCTTCATGGAGAAGTCCTTTAAAGTGCAATGGGGTCACTGGGGGTCCCCAATCCAACAGATCAGGACCCATCCCACACAGAGGGATGGCCATGTGAGGACACAGGGAGAAGGTGCCATCTACGAGTCAAGGAGAGAGACCTCAGGGGGAGCCAGCCTGTGTCACCCTAGCCCGGAAGGCCTCAGTTTGGGGCACCCCATTCATGCACATGGCAATACGCTAGTAAATGTCCCTTCCCTTGTCTCTTGCCCATCTTCTATTTGTTATAGGATCTGTACTGATTAAGAATATTCTTTTCCCTTCCTTCCACTGGTAACTCAGCCACTGTCTCTGAGGAGAGGGGATCTCACTGGGTAAGCACATGCATTGGTGAAAACTGAACCCTGGGGCACCATGGTCTCGGTGCTGAAACGGTGGACTCCAGCCTGCTTCGTCTCCAATGGGTCCTGCAAGAGCAAGGCTGTCTATGCTTCTGTTCCTCACCCAAGCACCACATTCAAAGCAGAGCCTTGGGAGAGCGCAGCACCACCAGTTGGGGCATCGTGCACCACCGTATTCCATAGCCGCCTAGGACTGAACTCTCTGGCTTGTCGGTGGCCTCGTGGAGAAGGCCCTGGTGGTGACACCTGTGTAGCCCTCACCTGCCTGGACCAGAGTGGTTCTTCCCAGGGACAGCACTTCAGGGCTGGTCCCAGAGTGTCTGGACCCTTGTTGGTGTAACAGACTCAGGTTGGAGAATCAGGGGTTTCCATTTATTTCCACTTATCTCACAAACTTTGCCAGATCAAAATTTTATACCACTGTTCATTTCAGATGCCCATGTTTGGACTGGGTCTTTAAATTTGGGAGGTCTGACTTTTTTAAAGTTCTTTATAGATTCGAGATAGTAGACTGTTGTCTGAGGACAGCTGGTGAAAATTTTTTCCCACGTGGTAGGTTGTCTCTTCATGTACCGTTGGTGGTTTCTCTTGCTGTACAGAAGCTTTTTTTTTGGTACTGGGGATCGAACTCGGGAACTTGCAGTTGCGAGACAGGTGGCAGAACCACTGAGCTAAATCCCTGGCCCCGAAGAAGCTTTTTAATAAGAAGAGATCCCACTTGTTGATTGCTTGTGCTAGTTCATGGGCAACTGAGGTTTTGTTCATAAAATCTTTTCCTACACCAATGTCTTCAAGAGTTCTTCCTAACCTCTCTTCCAGCCGGTTTAGTGTTTCTGTTTTAATATTTAGAACTTTAATCCATGTGGTTTTTTTTTATTAAATGGAGTATTACTCAGCCATAAAGAACAAGAAACTAGAGACGTTTATAGCTAAATGGATGCACATTGAGGCGATACTCTTTTTTTTTTTGGTACCAGGGATCGAACTCAGCTCCTTGCGCTTGTGCAGCAGGCAGCGAAACCACTGAGCTAAATCCCCGGCCCTGAGGCCATACTCTTAAGTGAAATAAATAGGACACACATGTGTAAATACTGAATAGTTTCTCTGGTGTGAAAAACTGAAAATATAAATAAGGACTAAAAGGTACAATAAATAATGTGAAATAGGAAGAAAAGGGGCAAAGGGGAAGGGGAAATGTGAGGGGTAGAGGAAAGGAAAGAAGGGAATGGAATTAATATTAGAAAATGGAAAAATGGAAACAAAGTCCTTGTGGATAGGGAGAGGTGGAGGGGTTGAAGGGAGGGCAGGGGAAGGGGGAAAAAATAAGAACCAAGACAGATTATGTAAAAGTGCAAATTTCCAATGATGAATGTCATCATATTGTATACCTAAAATGTACCAATATAATTTAAAAAACTTTATCACTGAGTTTAAAAATATTTTATATTCACAGAATATACCAGATACTAATGGATCTTAGAGATGGAACCGGAAGATTTCAGTGTTTAGGAATCTTAATGAGAAAAGATAACCTGAAAAACAATGAGAATTAGCTGGGTGCGGTGGCACACATCTGTAATCCCAGAATTCTGGGAGGCTGAGGCAGGAGGATCACAAGTTCCAGCCTAGCCTGGGCAATTTATCAACGTAGCAAAACCCTGTCTGTAAATAAAAAATATAAAAATGGTTGAGGATATAGCTCAGTGTGAAAGCTCTGGGTTCAATTCCCTGTATCATAAAAAAGATTACTTACTTTTCATATTCACTTGAGAATAGAAAACTGTCAGGGAGTCTGTAAGCATCTCTTCTCACCCTTTGCTGCTTCGCAGGCAGTGATCAGCGATCACCCAGCCTCTGTGCTTCCAGTGGTTCTGCCACCCCTGGTCTTACAGGAGGTGGGGCTGCTGAGGTGTATGGGTGGGGCAGGAGATCCAGCCCAGCTTTGGATTGGTGCATGCCTGTAAATTCCGTACATGGGAGGCTGAGGCACGGGGATTGCTGGGAGTTCAAGGGCAGCTTGAACTACACAGTGAGGCCTTGTCACTCGCAAACAAACAAAAAACCAAAAAAACCCTAAATCAAACTTGGTTATTATGGGGAAACGGCTGTGGCTGGAGAGGATGGTAATGCAACACTGTGTGAGGTACTGTGCTCCCAGAAGGAAAAGCATGCTACTGTAGAGCAACTGGTCACTGACATCATCGAGTGGAGGATGCCTGCGATCCAGGTATTGTGGGCTGATTTGGGTCTCCCCAGTCCTAACCCTCTGCACCTATGACTGCAGACCCCTCTGTAAATAGGGTCATTGCTGATATAATTAGGTGATACTGCAGTCCTGGGGGACAGGGCTGTGTGCTTAGGAGAAGATGGCATGTGACGACAGGGCTGCATCCTCAGGCCAAGGAGCACAGGGTCACAGGCAGCACCAGAGCTGGGGAGGCTGAAAAGACCCCAGAGCTTGCAGAGACAGTGTGGCCCCCAACACAGGAAGTCCAGTTTTAGAACCATGCACAGCTCTCTGTGGCATGTAGCACTTTGCTCTGGTGTCCCCAATGTGCTGCTGCCCAGGTCAACAGGGCCAGCAGCAGTTCCTGGGCCCAGGGTCTCTGCCAGTTAGTTGTGGGAGCCTGGGGCCATGTCAGGCACAGTCCTGTTTAAGTACCAGGATCCAAGTCCAACACCTGATCCTGCAGAAGGGGTGGGAGAGCCTTCTGCGGTCATCTGACTTGCACAGGGTCGCTGGTGAGGTCCTGGGCTCTGGTGTGGCCTGGTCAAGAACTTCTGTGGAGTGAGGATGGGGCCTGGAGTCTGGGGGCTGAAGTGGGTGGCCACTCTGTGCCCCGGGTGTCCAGGATGGGAAGAATGGAGAGGTGTTCTTGTCCCCGTGGTGCTGACATGGAGGGGCCCAGGAGGCCTGAAATTCTGTCCAGGCTGTGCCTTCTGCTGGCAGAGCATGTCAGCTCCACATGTGACTCACACGTTGGCTCTGCTAGGTGCTGGGGCTCTGTGATACATCAGGCTCCACTTTGAGGACATTTCTGTACGTAGGTCCCTTCTCTCAGTGCAGGAGAGGTGTTCACACATCTCGATAAGAAAGCAGGTCTACGTCACATCTGTGCCTGCTGCATTGGTGCATTATATGTCTGTGTTGCCATGACCTAAATTTAAATTTAGCACCTGGTTATATTTAGGGTTATGTGGATGACTATTTCACGAGGGTCAGAGCAGCCTGACATCCTCATGCCCATGGCACCAGGCACAGGGTGGGCTCTGTGTCTGTGGCCCTGGAAATAAGTGGCCACAGCTGTCCCCAGCTGGTGCTCTTGGAGAGGGTCCTATATCGGAGGCAAGGCGGGTGCCGTGGCTGAGGGTAAGTGGGTGGAGAGTAACCCCATCTTTCATGGGGATCCCAGGCCCACAAGCACTGAAAGCTGAGAGTGAGTGCCACCTAGGGGCATCCACCTGAGTGTGGTGTCACAGCCCCATTCACGGCTCATGTCACAGCTGGTGTGTACCCAGTTCCTGGCATGTGCTGGGCACTGTGCCACCTGCCAGAGACACCACGGAGATCATAGCACACTGTCATGCCTGAGCTCACAGTTTATGAAGGAGATGGATGTGGAGTCACGTGGTCAGCAG